TCTGCTGCTTTTACTTTAGGTAACCTAAGACTATAGATATCACGAGAAAACATTTTGTTTCTTTCAGGGCTTTTTAAGTACCTTTGCAAAAAAGGGAAAGTAAGTAGCAGCCAAGATAGAAACAGTCACAGATCTCATGAAAAGTGATACTAAAATTATACTCTAAATATGTACAATTATGGCTTAACTAAGTGTTCTGTAAAATGTCTGGCTAAATAGAAAAGTCTTCTTTCTCCTTAATAATTTTTAAATGCATTTTAGCAGCCTGGACATGCAAAGTAAGCCACCGCTTTGAGGCATTTGTCCAGTTCATGTATATCTCCCCCAGAAGTCTTTTGTGTAAAATGTCCGCAGAGCTGAAGAAAAAGCAATGTTTGGGCTCAAATTACACAGTTTCCTCAGTTCGCCACTGTTTTATTAGCACAAACCTGACAGTACATTTCCTAAGTCTAAATGTGAGGGCTCGCAGATGAAAATCAGGGAATTAGAATGCTTTTCAGAGAATCTCCTTTGCTTATATTAGTCCCAGTAACCTTGCAACCCTCCTAGATTGAACACTATTTAAATCTGGACTTTTTAAAGTTAGTTTCAAAGAAAAACTCATGGCTGGAAGCTGACTGACTTGGAGTTGAGTTAGAAAGAATAAAGTGTCTTTCTCCCTCTTCCAGGGGAACAGTAAAGCTCTACATAACGTGTCCCTTCCCAACAGGCTCGGTGACACAGTCACAGGTGCGTTGAACTACTGAACCGTGGAAGCCAGCTTCTCCCTTCCAGTCACTCATGGCTTCCCTGTCTCTGTCATACTCTCTAAATCTTCTTGGAAAAATTGTCGGTAATTCCTCAGAACCGGTCAGGATTTGCCCTTCACTATTTTAGGAAGTTTTATGCTTTACCACAATCAAGTTCATTCTTCGTTGGCAGTATCAAAAAATCTGAGGGGGAAACCTGGTGCTCTATTAAAACTTTTCTTCAACAGTGTTAAATAATATTGTGTTAAAAAGTTCAAACCCACAGTTACCTCTAATCCATGGCTATTTTGTATTTTCTTTTTCCTAGCAAGACTTTTCTTCAAGAATAGATACAAAATCTTTCTACAGCCATGGGAGGTACCAAGAATCTAAGTAGCCAATAAATATCAAATGGAGTAAAAGAGATCACAGATGCCTTGACTAAATCTCCAGGAACTTAAGTTTATTTAGAAGTAAAAACATGTATCAAGTTGAAGAACGTTCATTATTTAATAGATACTATCTTAGAATGCATTTTATTTTCTTGACTGTTTTTCAAAAAAATATATATATATATAACCTGAATGATGGCTTTTAAGTCTCTTATTACAAAACCTCAATAATTTTTTAAAGTGTTTTTGCTTTCACAGCCCAATTCTGTTTTCCAGTCTTATGTACACTTCACTGAGAGAAATAGACAAATTCTTTTTTGAACTGTTTCTTTCAGGGCCATTTCACAGACATGGTGGGTGGGAGATGGGGAAGTCATTGTCCTCATAGTTAAAGCTCTGTGTTATGCAATGGAGTCACTCCTCATCCTGAATATGCACAGAAAGGTTTGTTCCTTTGGCAAGTTGGGGTGAGCAGATTTGCTTTTGAAGCAGCTACATTTTCCTCAGTACCTGCTAAGGCGAGTCAGTGCGCCCCCTGCTGACAAGTTCCTAGTGTGACTCCCGAGCACTTTCAAAGTTTATTTTGTTCAGTAAACCGTGTCATATAAAATTAACAACAACCAATAAAATTAGCTTATATGTTTCAACTGTAAAAGTCCAAAACAAAATAAAGCTAGTTTTAGTGGAGCTAGAAATCTCTAGTTTGGCTTCTTCTCTTTGGCTGAACCAAGGTCCTTTTATCTAAAGCCCAGTGCACAAACATATAGCTTAATGTGACTAGTGTTCTTCCTTTTATTTCTTTCTCTATGGCAACCAATATGCTCTGCTCAGAAATGTTCCCCATCAAGGAAACAAATGATCTTCAGGGAGCAGCTCTATATGGCATCTGGTCCAATGGAGCACAGAGAGTTAACCCCAGTCAAAAGCGAGGCTGCCAAGCACGTAAACAAGGAGTGGAAAACTGGCGATTTCTTATCCCCCTCCCCAACTGAAACCTCTTCCTGTCTCTTTACAAACCATTTCATTGATTTGGCATCAACTGTTGCCAAAGAAATTACAAATTTTAAATTGCAAGGTGTTCTGGATACAAAAGTGCGATGAAATTCCAGCCATTCGGGTTTACCTACTCATCACCCAGACGCCGCTTTCCTTTAAAAGAACAAAACCAAGAAGCTTTCAGAATCCTCTCCAGCCTATTTCACGAAGGTAAGGGGCTCACACAAGCTTGGACTTGGCCTAGCTATTTCCTCCAGCCATTTTTATCTAATTAACTGCACCTAACAAGTAACTGCACCTTCAATTTTTACACGACCCAGTGACAGTGGCAAGGAGGGGGACAAGGCAGGCTGTCAAATACGGAAAACAAAGTAAAATCTAGTTTGCGTTGCTGGAGCTCCAGCCTCCTTTGGGAATGAAGTGTAGGATGTCCTGGTTGGTTTTGATTGATCACCTCTTTCTGATGGACTTTTACTACCAAGCTGAGAGGCTGCAACTAACCGCGTGCTCCCAGAAAGGGCACTAACCGGGGGTGCACTGACTTCCTGCCTCTTCTTCCTCCTCTGCTTCCTTCTGCTCCAGCTCTCTGCCCTCCCTTTGCCAAGCCTCCCCACCCCACAACCTCCAACCCTCTGCTCTCAGCATGAATCCCCTCACCCCCATCCCTTGCAAGCACACACAGTTCACCACATCAGCACTGGCTACAGAAGGGTTTCTCTCTCTCTGGTCTTAATCTTTAAAACTCCTCAACAAAAAATATTTATAATACTGCGTGCTTTATAATCGCTGCTATTCTAGGGCCTCCCCTTTCCCCAGAATCAACAATTAAATTCAATTGCAAGCTCCTCCCCAACCCAAACCCAAAAATGTGCCTTGCTGTGAGGAGCTTTGGAGTGAACCCATCTTTTCATGTAATATTTTCGCATGGCTTTTTTTTTTTTTTTTACTCTCCCCCAACACACTTTCCCTTCTTTCTTTCAAAACAGTTGCTCTGTGAACCCTTTCTTGTCCCAAGTAAAGAAAATAAACTCCAAAAC